CCCCCACCCCACACCCACACCCACACCCACACCCACACCCACACCCACACCCAACACTGGGGCACCGTCCGACCACCGATCATTTCCTGGTTACGCCACTAACAAAAAGTAATTGCATATATTGACTTTTTTCCTGAAAGTGATCAATAAATAACTATAAACTCGATCTTTTATTTGGTCATGTACACAATAAGTGTCAAATATTAGAGAAAAAAAAAATCCAGATTCAGATCCAAAACTTTGCAGGTTCAGGCTCCTATATTTACCGATAAAGAAATACTTCTTTTGTCTTTGATGTATTTCTTGTATATAAGATCGATGCACGTTGAAAATCATTATCAGACATTTGTGTGTCAGCATATTCTTGCATATATTGATAGAGAGATTTTTTTTTCTTTTTTTTTTTTTTTTTTCGTGAAAACATCATCAGAAAAAACTTCTTTTAGTCGACAAAGAATAAATGATGGTATAAAATCAAGATCATCAAATGCTTTTCTATATGGAAAATAAAATTTCATATCTATAGAATATTTCTTCTTGAAATTTTATCACGAGGCTTTTTGATAGTAAATATTTTTAATTTGTCTAATTTTTTTTTTTTTTCTAAAAAATTATTGTATAATTATGTAAACATAGAGGAAAATAGAATAATTCTATTGGTTTATACTCCAGACAGGGATACTTTGACCAATCAGAAAGAAAAAACCTTTTCTTCTTCTTCATCTTCACCATTCTTATTCATATATATGTCGTGTCGACGAAGTTACATCGATTGTTGAAGTTATAACTTAGACAAAAATTTTGTCGAAGTTACAACTTAGACGGATACATTCGTCGAAGTTATAACTTCGACAATCGATGTAACTTCGTCGACACGACATATATATATCCAATCGTTTGAAAAATAAATCCATGAATGAATCTTTCTAATACCAAAACTACTTTTTTTTTTTTATTTAACAACGTTCATATTTAGACAATGAATTATATATTCATACGAATGATTTTTATTTTACTAATGACGACAACTATCGTCATTAGTCAACATAATAATGATAATCAAATTGCCGATTATGAAGTTTACATTCTACTTTAAAAAAATATAACATATTTATGTACTCTAGATGAACAATGTGATTCAAATTCTCCAACATATCAACTTACACATCAACATCATACATGTTATGCAAGTTGGACATTACAATCAAATGATAATTCAATAAGTTTTACTGCTGGGTATGTCATTTTATTTTCATATAGAAAAAAAAAAACGTTTTTTATATGAAATCTAATTTAATAGATGTATGTATAATGATTATTTCTTTGTACGATTAATGTGTGGTACAAATCAAACAAATCGTTATATCGTTTGTTGTTCTCAACGTGATTATTGTAATGATCTTGATGCTTATTCAACAACAAATTCGTATTACATTAATATCTACAATATCAACAAGTAATTATTTATCTAAAAAAAAAGGAAAAAGTTCAATAAATCAATTTTTATATTTATATAGGTACTTTAACAACACGTCAACCTTCTGGTAATTTTTCAATATTAATATTAATAACAATTATTTCAATAATTGTTGTTGTAATTTTATTATTAATTAGATGTATAATTATGTATTTAAAACAGAAAACTATAAAAAATAATAAAAAATTATTCGAAAACAATTGTTTATGATGATGATGAACATCATAAAAAAAATATTATTCAACGTTTATTAAAATGTTTTCATTGTCAAACACGTTTAGAACAAAATTCAGATGGATGTATACCATCAGATCAATCATTAACTGCACTTCTCGATGAATTTTCAACAAGTATACAGTCGGACCAGGTTAATCAATTGAATTTGAATTTATTGTAAAGATTTATAAATAATGTTGGATCTTTTTTTTTTTGTTTTTTTTGTCTAGCACTTCCTTTATTAATGCAACGTACACTTGCAAGACACATAACTTTAGAAAAAGTGATTGATGCTGGTCGTTATGGTAGTGTTCATCTAGGAAAATGGCGTGCAAATCATGTTACTATTAAAATTTTTTTTTGGCAAATGATGAACGTTCATGACTTCGAGACATTGATATTTATCAAACTGTTTGTTTAAGACATGAAAATATTCTTGGATATATTGCAGACGATAATAAGGTATACAGATATTTGATAGAGAATCAATACAACCTTTTCTCTATTAAGGATGCATCGACATATACTCAACTTTGGCTTGTTAATGATAACGAATATCATGAAAATGGATCAGTTTATGATTATTTAATGACTCATAGAATAACAATACCTATATTAATAAAAATGATCTTAAGTATAGCTAGTGGTCTTTGTCATTTACATATGCCAATTGATTCAACAAATGGTAAAAAAAAAAAAGAATTCTATATTTAATATCTATTGAATTTTGTTTCAGGCAAAGTTGCACTTGTTTATCGTGATTTAAAAACAAAAAATATTTTAGTTAAAAAAGATTTATCATGTTGTATTGCTGATTTAGGTTTTGCTGTAAAAGAAGTTCGCTCTCGACCTAAATCTTGAAAAGACCCATCACTTTCAAAAGCATCTAATTAAGAACATGTTGATATTGATATTCAAGCAAATAGTCGTGTTGGTACACAACGTAAGTAAAGTTTTGAAATTAAAAAAAAGTAAAGAAAAAAAATTTCTTTTCAAAGGTTATATGGCATCAGAAGTTCTTCATGGAACATTAAATGAACGTAGTTTTAAATCATTTAAAGCTGCTAATATATATGCATTAGGACTTGTCTTTTGGAAAATATTACGAAAATGTCAAACAAATCCAAATGGTAAATAAAAATATGTTTTAAAAAAAAATTTTTTTTCTATTTAATTAAATTATTATAGAAAATGATGCTGATCCATATCAAGTGCCATATGAAGATATTTTACCAAATAATCCAACATTTGAACAAATACGTGATGTTGTATGTACAAGAAAAATTCGACCACCACCATCACCACGATGGCAAACACATCCAGTAGGAAGTTTTTTGAAATAGGAAATTTCTTTTTTTTTTTTTTTTTTGGATAATATATTTTTAAGATTCTTCATTATCTTGTTCGTTTATGTGGAGAATTATGGATTGAAGATCGAGCATGTTGTCTTAGTAGTCTTAATGTTAAAAAACAACTTAAAACTCAAATGAGTTTAATAGAAAATAATTTATCAAATATAAATATTGAATCATAACAACAATTAACACAAAATGATGGTCCATGAACTGCATAGTTACATATAATAATAAGATATCCTTTCTTATGTAGATATTTTGCTTATTGTTTGTTTTGTTTTTTTTTCTCTTTCTTATCTTAAATTTTCTTTTTTACACTAGTTTTGAACAGTTCTTATATTGTTTATTTGCCATTTTTCATATGTACGTCCGTTTTTTGTCTTACAAACTTTATGTACAGTTGTGTTATAAACGAAAAGAAAACCAAACAAAAAAAATTATTTAGCTGTTAGATGCCATCAATCGACTGTCGGAAAAAAATTCGTTTAATTAGTTCATTCTTTTTTTCCTATTGTTGTTGCTGTTATTTCAAATTTCTTCGGTATTTGTGTTTTTGTGTGCGTCTATTGTATTTATTTTATTTGTCACAAAAAAACAAAAACAAAAAGAAAACAAAATGTTATCAACTATAATCGAAATGATATCCTTTGAGTGTGTTTAAAACAAATAAAATTTATTTGTTATTCCTATAATTATATTTGTTTCAGTATTCTTGTTCTTTTTCATTTGTCTAATTTAATAATTATGGCAACATCACAAGGAACAACATTTACAGGTGATAGTACTACAATATCAACAACACAAACAACAGTTAGTGCATCACCAATAGTAATACCATCGGCTGCTATTATACAACTTTTATCATTAGAACTTATTGATAAATGTATTGGATGAAGAATTTATATTATTATGAAATTAGATAAAGAAATTGTTGGAACTTTATTTGGATTTGATGATTATGTTAATATGGTACTTGAAGATGTAAGTTGGTTATCTTACAAGAAAAAAGAATTAAATCTACTTGCAAGGAAACTACCCAATGACGGAGTCAGAAGGGGACTCAGCCTCTGTGAATTATCTGAAGTGATACCTGCCGTTTGAACTTATATTGGGTTCACAAGAACGTCTTCATAAGACTAGAAAAATCCCAAATGGGTTCATGTCCATGGGCTTCTGCAGCCGAGTTATGACTATGTTCTACTGAGTTTTCGGTCCAAATTTAGGTATTCATCGAAAAATTAGTAGAACAGTCATAATTCGACTCCAGATGCTCATGAGAACGAACTCTTTTAGGATTTTTCTAGCCTTACCGAGACATCCTTGTGAACCCAATATGAATTCAAACGATGGATAACACTTCGGATAGTCTCATGTTAGGACATACGAAAAAATAATGGTGGATGTATTTTAAGTTCTTTATAGAAAGCTTAAAGAAAATTTTTTTTCTTTATAATCTGTGATGGTTATATATTGAACACGAATTGTCTTCGATATATATCCTATTCTTTATGTACTCGTCTCGCCTAATGTCTAGCCGTTCATACATATGGGGATATAGAAAAAATAGTGACAGTATTGGTTTTCATAGAAATTAGCTCTTTAGTGGAAATCCATAGATGGTATTTCACTTATGGTAATATATCATTTTCTATACAGTGCTCTACATTAATGTTGAGTTGAAGCTGTTTCTAAGACACAAACTAAGGAATGCGCCAAAACTAATATTTTGCTTTGTACAGACATAATTTTGGATTTCTTTTTCAAAATTTAATCTTAGTCTAGAGTGAAATCTGAACATATATTTGGAAATTTTGATTCTGGTTTCACGCTTCGTAATACATGTACTAATGGAAAATCCGATATCATTTTCTAGCAGTCTTAATGAGCTCGAGATGTCTTGCATCATCTCTAATGTCCTTCCCCTTGGAGATTCATTATTTTTTTTTAATTCACTAATACTTCGTTTATTCAGCACGTTTATGTGTTCAACAACAAAGTTGTTTACGACAAAAAAAAAAAAAAAAAAAAAAAGATTAGTTTTCGCATAAATTTTTAAAATACATGAGTCGTGAGAATATGACATTTAACGCAAGTCTTACACGATTATAAAAGATATTACTTCCAATGAAAAAGTGTTGGTTCCAATTCCATCGGAAGCAGGATCATCTTGTCCATATCTACTTCAGACTCTAACCAGTTGTGTCTTTTAATGGTTGAAAAATGAACTAATATTTTATGTGAGAACTTTCGCATCATAGGTTACATTAATTGTTTTGTTCTGCACTTATAGAACAAAGTGGTGATTGAAAAAAAAACAACTATATCTTTTTTTGTTTTTTTTTTAGTTAAAAATTAGTCGAATTTCTATTTGAATCTTATCATTGTGAATTCTTCAGTTCGATATGAATTAATTTCATAATCTTTTTTTTTTTTTCAGATAACTGAATTCGAAACACTTCCCGATGGTGGTAGTCGTATAACTAAACTTGATCAAATATTATTAAATGGTAATCATGTTGCTATGCTTGTCCTCGGCGGTGAAGGACCAAGTATAACCGACGAAGCAGTATAAACAATAATGAAACACTATTCAAAAAAAGAAATTTGTTGTTCTAGTACGAAACTTCTTTGTTATATAAAAAAAAGAAAAATTTTTTTTATCCATTTCTTTTACAAGAAAAACTCTGGAAATGAAAAACAAAAAAAGTGATCAGATATTTTCGACGAAAAAAAAAAAAAGATCATAAATCAATTTTTGTTATATATTTAAGATTCTTTTCATCTTAGATTAGAAAAAAAATTAGTATTTTTGTTTCTTCTATTCAATAAATGGATAAAACATAACTTATAATGCATTTTCCATCATCATCTACAACATCATCATCATTATCACAAAATCGAATATCAAATATAACAAATTCCAATAATGTTTTATTTCTTCCATCAAATACATCAAAAATGTCATTTATAATTCCAAATAATACTAATACTAATAATACGATAAATAATTCTAGTCAACAATAACAACAAATTGTTCCATCATCAAATATATTTTCATCAATACCAACAAATGGAATAACAACATCAATTAATTTAAATGGTATAAATACACAAACAAATTCAACATCAAATATATCAATATCATCTGGACAAACAACATCACAACAACAACAACGTTTAACATTTCCTCAACGAACAACATCATCAATACCATCATCATTATCACAATCTCAACAAATTCCACAAGAAGAATTTATGAAAATTCTTCGTGTATTACAAGAAAATAATATGACTGAATCAGTTAAAACATTTAAAAAAGAATATGAAACATTATTTAATAAAACAACAATACTAACAATAACATTATTAAGTGAACCTTATTTTAATGCACTTGATGGTTATATAGCATATGTACAAGAACAACCTGATTCAAGTCGACATGAATTTGCTTAATTAATATATCCATTATTTGTTCATATGTATTTAGATTTAATTGAAAAAGATCAACTTGATGAAGCACAAAGATTTTTTATGACATATGTTAAAAATACAAATTTACAAGCAACAGTTTTTGCATCACATAAAGATGATCTTTATCGTATTAAATTATTAATTAGAAAAGAACAAATAGCACAAAGTGAATATGTTAAATCATTTCGTCATAATGGGCGTTATTGAATTAAATTATGTAATGCATCACTTGAATTATTTGATCAATTTTTAATTAAACAACAAAAATATCTATTATTAACAAAAATTGTTCAAGCATATTTTCAAGTAAGAAAAAAAAAACGAAAAAAGATTTTAATTTATTGAAAGGCAAGTTGATTTTATAGTTGAAATTAAGACATACGGTTTTTTTTTAATATCAATCAATTCCTAACACTATAACTAGAGTTATGAAAAAATGTTTAGACTTCTATGATTTGATTTGATGAAGTTATAAAGCATTGAAACATGAGAAACTCTGAGAAACAGAAAAAAAAAGGTTATCTTCATTATTGTTTCGCTTATATTTCCGTTTTATTTGAGTAATATCTCATTTGAAAGAGCACATAAAACTCAACAAAAAACATCTCGAATAGGTTTTTGAAAAAGTCTAATCTTGATATAAAAGAATTAACTTTTCTGAAAAATTGCACTTTTTCTTAAACTGACTTTTTTTGATTGTAAACTAGATTTTAATATGATCACTAATCGGGACGTAACTTTAATATAGTGCATTCTGTAGAGGATTTTGTGCTCTACAAGGTTTTGAGAAAAAAGTTTCAGGAACGTATTATTCTCGATGCATAAATTTATGCCTTTTTGACTAGTATTTATCAGGTTTTGCTTAGAAAAATGATGATTTGATCAAAATTAATAATTATATTCTGAATTACCATGAGAAACTGGGTCGACTTATGTAGATTTCAAATATCTTTTAAGACACTTTTTTCATCGAAAAATTTATCCCTGGCCCCCATCAGGATTTAGCTAAGGAAATGGAATTCATCAAAATGCTCTTTTTATTGCCTACTCATCTTCCATTTTATGTCTTACTATTATATTAAAACCTTAAAACTTTTTTTCAGTATCAAAATAAGTTTTTATTGAATTTTAGTTTTTGACTAAACTCTGAGGGGATCTGAAGATGAATTTTTCGATGAAAAAAGAAATGATGTCTGAAATATATTTGAAATCCACATAAGTCGAGTCAGTTTCTCATGTTGATTCAGAATATAATTATTAATTTTGATCAAATCGTCAGTTTTCTAAGCAAAATCTCCTAAATACTAGTAAAAAAAAAACCACAAATTTATGCCTCGGGAATAATGTGTTCCTGGAACTTTTTTCTCAAACTCTTGTAGAGCACAGAATTCTCTACAAGATGCACTATATTAAAATTACACCCCGATTAGTAATCATATTGAAAACTGGCTTACAATCAAAAAAAGTCAGTTTAAAAGTACAGTTTTTCAGAAACTTATTCGACACATTTTTTGTTCTCAGAGTCCCTCATCTTTCAACACTTATAACTTCAGTTGTAGTGTTAGGAATCGATTAGTGCCAAAAAAAGGGTATATCTTAATTTTGACCATAAAATGATCCTATGGACGAATGCTCGACCGACTGGTGAAACTTCTTTTAAGCTATTGTGGTTTTTCTTTTTTTTTTTTTTTTTATTTCAACTTGAAATTAATGATGGTAGTGCACGTAATGCTGAAACTCAATGTTTATTAAGTGGTGGTCGTCTTGGTGAAATTAAAACTGAAGTTAATACAAATCGAATGTATTATGGTTTATTACGAGATCATGATCTAACAAGAATATTACAACATAAATTAATACTTGCATCATCAACAGGTGTTGATAATGAAGATAGTGCTAGTGATGATCAATCATCAACATCAAAAAATCGAAAAAAACTTAAAAAAGATTTTTTTAATCAACGACAAAGTAAAGCTTCATTAAAAGTTGATCCTAATACACCACAACTTACATGAATACCTATTCCAGAATTAAGAGAACATGAATGAATGGATTTAATTAATATATTTCAAGGTAAAATCATTAATTTTATTACACGATGAATATTCAAATAAACTCATTAAAACGATTCAGTATATAAAATCGATGTAAGACTAATGTTAATAGTAAAATAAATATTCTAGATGTTATGTTCAATAATGTAAAACATGATAAACATGATTGTTGCAATGACATTGAAGGAGAGGACAAAGTCTATATCGAATTTCAATACTTCAATAACTAATTTTAATATATAATTATTGAGAGATCTCATAAAAAAAAAAAAAAATATATATATATATATATATATATATGCGGAATGTTGAAAAAATTCAATTTTGTTAACTGAAAACATTGTCTAAATTTAATGTTTGACAAGTTGACAAAAACAAAGATAAATTTAAAATAATTGATTCTTTTTTTTTTTTTCGTTTCTATTGCAGAAGATTATACACGAATGTTAAAAATAACATCCGATAATTTACCATCTTGTTGTTATTATACTTTATTAAATGGTTATCTTGAAATAAATTGTCTTGGTAAGTTTAATTTAAAACAAAACAAAAATATTCTCAATAAAATTTTATTTTTATTTTTATTTTTCCTGTATTAAAGAAGTATTCGAAGATTCAATATGACTTGCTGTTGATTGTAAAAATTCAAGTATATATGTATATTCATTAAATTGTCAAAAATTAATAATAATAAAACTTCCTCATGAACTTGAAAGATTAGATAAATTAAATGAACATATATATGAACAAATGATGATAATAAAGATGATACAAATACACATCATGATACTGATATACTTTTTAATCAACATTTATTATGTGATCATACTGGACCAATATATAGTTTATCAATGTCACGTGAAAAATAGTTTTTACTTTCATGTTCAGAAGATTTTATTATACGTCTATGGAGTTTATTAACATGGACATGTTTAATTACATTTCGTGGTCATATACAACCTGTATTTGATGTACAATTTGGTCCATTTGGTCATTATTTTGCATCATGTTCACTTGATAAAACAGCACGTTTATGATGTATTGAACATGCACAAACATTACGAATATTTACTGATGATTGTAATGATATGGAAACATTATGTTTTCATCCAAATTCAAATTATATAGCAACATCATCATTAGATAGAATTTTAAAAATATGGGATTTATTAGAATGTAAAGAAGGACAACAAATGATACCTATTAGACAAATGTCTGGACATAAATTAAATATTTATATATTAAAATTTTCTAAAGATGGTAGATATTTAATATCAGCTTGATTTGATCGACAAATTATGATATGGGATTGTAGTAATGATTCTTTAGTTACATGTTTACTTGGACATTCGGATGCAATTTTTTTCTGTGGTAAAATAATAGATTTATTTATTTCATACAATTAATCATTTGTAATTGTTTTTTCTCTTAGTATTAGCATTAGAGATTTTTTTTTTTGTTCAGAGAAATTATCAGTAAAATAATTAATGTTAAAAAGCCACTGACTTTCACTTCATGTATTTTAGTTTAAAAAAAAAAACTTCTGAGCAGAGGCTGAAACGGGGTGAATTTCAGCTCCCTCGCCTCGCCCCGAACCCAACGTTCTTTTTTCGCCAACTCCTTCCCGCCTCGCCCCCGTTTTCCATTTTTTTCTTCGCCCCGTCCAGATTGACCCCGTTTAAGTTGCTCCTCGCCCCGTCCCGCCCCGTGTAAGTTATCCCTTGCCTTGCTTTGCCCCAGATTTACATTATTTCTTCATTACCTCCTTTTATGTTTATAGAATATTTGTAGTTTTTTGATCCCATCATTGAGTTGAGAAGATATTGCAAGTTGATACAAAAACACAACAGTGCCCCTTTGAGTCCGGGATTATTTTTAAGCACTAAGATTTCTTAAAATTTCAAATCAATGTTTATTTTTTCAATAATATCATTAAATACACGATTCAGAATGCTTGTGGAGTATGATTGTCCTTAAAACAATCTATTAGACACAACCCCACATCACTCGATACATTCTTACGACGTGTCTCTCCTAGACTTGACTCTTCTCACAGTATGAGCACAAGCATAACACTTTCTTTTTGGATTTACTTGAGTGACTTCTGATGCAATGCATGAAGAAAAATGTCGCGCTATGAGTCGGAGTGGATTTTCAGAGGGTGTGAGTGGTGGGTGTGGATGTAGTTTAAGATAATGCCAACATCCACACCCGCCCATAATCACACCCGCACCCACACCACACTCACAGAAATATACAATATGTCGAGGCTAATCACGTTTTCATTTAAATAATAAGAACAAAATAGGTATATATACATACATATATATAGTTAATATACATCAGTCGCAGAAAGAAAAAGAATCTACTTGGACGTGCCTCAAAGAACATATAAAAGAAAAGAAAACAGAGAAAGCTTGACGTCATTCTACGATAGCAGAAAGTTAAAGAAAAAAGAACCCATGAGCTCGAAATGAATGATCTTTGTGACCTTTTATATGAAAAAATGCATTCTACCTTATTCATCAAAAGCGACCGTTCGATCAGAATATTTCTCAAAGATATCATGCTTGAACGACTTTAATAATAGGAACTATCTTCTTCAGAGCGGCAGTTCTTTCTTGATAAGTGTTAGTAAACTGATTCATGTATTAAATCATTAAATGATATACTAATTGTCTGAAATATCAAAGGACAACCAGTAAACATCAATAAGTACAAATGATCTTAACCGTACGAATATTCCAAAACACAAATATTCATACAATCCATAGCATTAAATATCCAATAAATCATATTTTTAAAGGTGTTGAGTGCATAAAGTCTCAGGACGGGAATTCTCGTCACCCAGACCCAACGGGTTAAACGTGTGTAATAATTATTCACATACATTGCTTATAAATAAGAAATTTATCCTATTAAGTTTATCATGTACAAACATCGAGTATATATTTCAAACCCCGCCTCGCTTCGCCCCGACGTAGTTTCTCCTCGTCCCGCATCGCCCCGTCGAAATTTTCCTCGCTTCGCCCCGTCAAAATTTTCTTCACCTCGCCCCGCTTACTTTTCGCCCCGTCGAAATGTCTCCCCGAATCGTCCCGACCCCGAGAAAAACGCTTCCCGTCCCGGGGGTCCGCTTCGATTCCTCGCCCCGTTTCGGTCTCTGCTTCTGAGGCTACAAAATCTCTATGCAAATTTTGCTTAGATTTTCTAGGAAAAAAGTCGATTTACTTCTTGTTAGCGATATGATGGAGTACAGATGCAAAAAAAAGAACGTTCTTATAACTGAATGAGAAGTTGAAAACTGATTTCAAACAGTAAAAATCCTTGTTCAAAATTTCTAGATGATAGTTTTTTTTTCCTCATATGATTAGAGTGATATCCATTAATTACTCTTTGATGGATAGTCAATTGAAAGAACCAACATTTTTACATAAAATGAGTTCCAAAATTTCTAGGATAAATAATTCTCTACAAAATGAGACGTCGCCAAGAAAACAACTGTAG